CTTCTCCACCAGCTTCTCCCTTCTCCCCTTCCTCATTCCTAGCCATATTGAGTCGGCCATACGGCCGCCGTGCGTATAGCCATATTGAATCTTATCCACACGGCCGCCGTGCGTATAGTCACTTCCCCAAAAAAGTGCACCAGCCTCACAATATCGAGGAAACAAACCCCAATAAAGCAGACCTATACGATCATGGAAACCAAGCTCAAAAAGGAGGACCATCAACTCTACCTCGGCGTGGAGCTCACTGATGACCTCTCTTGGTCTACCCACATCAGCCGGTCAAAAGGAAAGGCAACCCGGACCCTAAATTTCATCCGCAGGAACCTTGTAGGTACAAATTTGTATATTTCAATAGTTAGTGCTAATAGTACTAGTAGTAGTACTAGTAGGCCTAGTGTAATTGTGGTTCAAGGACAGATGCTACGTATATGCTACGTGTATGCTACGTATTGTATATGATAATATGATGGATAATTGCCTAAATAAAAAAATAAATAAAATAAAAACCCTAGCAATGTAGCATGATGTCTGATGATGTACTGTCTTGTAAATAACACAATTACAAGCATACAAATGTAATTTTATGTCAGAAAAAATACAATATAATTATTAAGCATTAATTGCGCCTTACATCAGTTACAGCCGGTGCGAAGAGATCATCGTCTTCATCTTTATTTTGTTCGTTTTCCTCGTCAAATAGTGGGGGTGGCTCCCTAGGTTCAGCCATTTTGAACCCTGTCGCGTAGGATGCGCTGTGATTCATGTAGTAATTTATTATAAATTTAATAACACAAAGTCGATGCTGCGAATAGAGATTTATGCACATACGCCACTAAAATATAAGGAATTTCATTTATTGAATGTAATTTCTTTTTTACGGTATATTAATTTCTAAACTTGAGCATAAACAAACGCATGCGCCGCAGGAAGTTCGCCATCGACACTTGTTTCAGCTGTTTTGTTTTGCGATTTTTATGAAGTTTGTGACAAACTACGGTGAATATTCACCTGCCGTTCTTTATCAATGTGTTTAAACTGACGATACATCAGTAATGGCTTGTCTGAACAAGCTTAAGCAAGAGATAAAGGCATTAGAAACAAGTTTTCCACCTACACATGAACGATTCCAGGTGATCTCGGCAACAGTAGACGAGCTGACATGTCGTTTCATAGGCAGCGGTGGAGAAAAATATGTTATTCACGCAAACATTACAGTGAGTACATTATACACCAACTTTAACTAACTATATATATTAAACCGTAATAGGCAACACTGTATAGTACATTTATGAAAGTGTCTATTATTTTACTGTATTGATTGCTGTAGTGTAGTTTTTTTATTATCAAGTTTTACATTTGGATTGTGTATACCACTTTTGATACTGACTCAGTGACTGTGCTTGCTGCCATAAACATATACGTACGTTATATAGATATATTCATGATACTACTACTAAAGATTAGATGAAGTCACTTTTTCTGTGTTTGGCGAACTGAGTTATATTATTATTAACATTATAATTTTGTTCTTTCTATCTTTTCAGGAAACATATCCAGAGACACCACCGATTTGGTTTGCAGAGAAAGATGATGCGGGCATTACTGCAGTGATAGAGAGACTAACAGAAACAGACACTGAGCATAATCACGTATGTATTACTATCTACCATGGGGTGTATGCAGAGTAATTAGGTGGCTATGATCAGTATAATCCCTGCACATGCATGCAATAGTATCTTTTTCATACTTATTTTGCATAATATGCTGTTTACATCAACAAAAGTTCCTGTGTTTGCTAAGTAAGAAATATTATGGGGAAGGCAAATCAAAGTTATTTATATGATTGGTTCACCGTTGTTTAAGTTTACTGAGGGTTAAAATCAAGAATATCTGTAATAAATTTCAACAGTCATTAAAATTACATATGGCAAAAGTATGATTTTTTAGCATAGCCATATGTAAGCATGCTGTCATTTAAATTAACTAAATCTGTGAAACTAAATGAAAGTACATCCCACTTTGTTCTAAAATGACTACATTGTCTTCCTCACCAGGCAAAGTTGTAATGGCATGGTGGTAATTTGATAGGAAATATTTTCCATGTTTTTTTAGTTGGTTCATCAAGTTCGATTGTTTATAAGTGACCTGTGTGAACTTCACAATCTGCAAGTGCCTGCAGAAGTAAGCTTGCTTGACAAGCATCACATGTCGAACTGCCCGAATGAGGTAAGCAATATTTCACATGCTCTTTATATTACGTCGTGATGCGTTTTACAGTGGAACACATCGTTTGTCTACATGTGGATCGTAATTGTGCATTTGTATTTATACGTGGGATCACAAGGGTGTGGCAGATCAATGTAGGAACGAGACGAGAAGCATAAACAAAGAACTAATTGGCTTAATAAATCGCTACAAGTTACTTTAAGTATAGTAACAGCTGTCAGAAATTCCTGCTGAGTCACATGTGTTTATAATATCTGTGTGTGTGTATGTGTTGACGAGTTCGTGATTTATATTTTATTAACTAATTAAAAGCGAGGCGATGCGATGGAGATGGAGAGTGAAGTGGAAGAGGAGGATGTGGAAGACAATGATATGGAGGAAGATTTTCATTATGAAATGGAGGAACCAGACACCACGTAAGTTCTTTATTGCAATGCCTATACAGGGTTTCTTCTGAGGGAAAATTTGACAAAGGAGGTACTGGCCAGTTTGGGGGAAAAAAACGCGCATGATGGGTTCAAATACAGGATCTATTGATATACTTATAGGTATATAGATACAGGATATACTTATCAGTAAATACAGGATGTATTGATATACTTATAGGTATATAGATACAGGATATACTTATCAGTAAATACAGGAACATTTTCACAACGGCGATGTTAAATTTGACATCGGCGGTGCGCCACTGTGCCCCCTATTAGTATTCCACCATGTTAGAACCATTTAATTTTTCTCTTTGTTTTCAATTTTTTTGGCATAACATAGGGCCCTGATAACATTGTTGTTTTGTTATCTGTAACAAGTTTTTTTCAGCAGAGCTACTTATGGGATGATGCTGTTAGATGCTTGCCAGATTCGCTATCATTCTCCCTATATTGTTAATCGCTTTGCTGAATCCATGTACATTATGTAATGGCCATGTTAGTTGGTTTACATAGTTGCATTAGTTTCAAATTAGTATCTTGTTAGTTTATTACGTGACACTCATGAATCAATGTGATTATATTGCAAGTGTTGTGTGTGTGTGTGTGCGTGCGTGAGTGTGTGTGTGTGTACTTGATTGAGGGCATATGTCTGCTGTATATGCATGGGTTTTCTTGTGAACAATTTGTTTGCACAGTAAATCCTATCTCCACCAAGCAGATATTTTACCTGTGGCCAATGTTGCTGTGGTAATTGTGGGAAAGGGCATAAATATGGCTAATGCCATTACCTTCAGGGAATTCATACCACGGTATGTAAAATTTACGAGTTTTATAATTTGTGTGAGTTTGTTTAACTTTGCATTTTCATGTTTGGATTATATTTGAAATGTGATTACAGGGTTGGTACATTATTGTCTGATTTTTAATTGCACAACTTGCTGCACACCAATTATTACTGTGAAAAATCAATTGGGGAAAACTCGAAATCTAATTTTAAAATTTATAATGTATATATGTGTAATTTTTGTTATTATGTGTAGCGTGACACTCCACCGTGGGCTCTCACAGTGATGGCAGCTTGACAGAGTAGTGCCACGATTGCTGCTTGCCACTGCCGTTAGCAGCAGCAGGTGGATCTAGTTTCGTTGCTTGCTTGCAGAGATAAGAAAGCGAAGGCAGATGAGGCAGATATAGACAAGCAAGACAATGAGTTGCTGGAGAGGCTCAAAGCCAACCAACGGCAAGGTTACCTTCAGGTGAGTGTGGTACAGTCACATGCTACTTCTTTATGAAGCCCACCATACTTAATGACATTTATAAAATTTATACAGTGAGGTGAGTGGTTCAGTAAGAAAGGTTATTTAAACATCAGCGTACAGAGCTTACCTTTTAGCAGTTTTCTTGGTGTGGTAAGAATTGCAGGAAAGTAGATAGGTGAGCATGCTGTGAGAAGACTGATGAAGTTGTGTTGTGTTTGCAGGGAACAGTGTGTGGGTCTGTGCAGGCAACAGACAGGCTGATGAAGGAGTTAAAACACATTTACAAATCTGATAGCTATAAGAAAGGTAAGTTTGACATTGAATAGTATCTGAGACCCTCACAGATTGCAACTAGTTTGAATATCTTCACTGATGCGCTATAAGTACTTAGGTTTATGAATTGTTTTACTGAGTAGAATGCTGTATTATAAATGAACTGTGTGTAATGACTGGTGTTTACTTTTGGTTTCAGGTTTATACTCTGTAGATTTAGTGAACGAGAGCCTCTACGAGTGGAACATTAAACTTATGAGGTAAGGATGAATTCTTATTTTACTTTTTTTCACATGCTGCTTTGTGCATACTTTCATCAATAAAACTTGTTTATGCTACATATATTTCTATGCTACAGTGTGGATCAAGATAGCCCACTCTACAGTGACATCACCACGATGAAAGAGAAGGAAGGCAAGGATCATATTCTGCTCAATATGACGTTTAAGGTATTTATAACATAGCAGGTAGATACACACACATGGATGCACGCAAGCACGCATACACACACACACACACTCCATATATATATATATATGGAGTGTTTATCGAGTGCCATTTGATAGCATTAATCACATTATTCAACAATAAATATAGAAGTAATAAAAGCAAGGTGAGGAATTTGATGTTTAGCAGAATATAAACTGAAAGCACATTATATAGGGGACAAATGAGAAGGGTGATTTAAGCCTCGTACCATATATAGTAACATTAAATGCTTGTAACATGGAATGGCTGCCTTGAGTACATAGCAGCAACCATACAAAATCTTGCTGGAGCGTAATGATTGCAAACGTGAAGGTTTGACGTTGTGTTTGCTAGGAGACCTTTCCGTTTGAGCCACCGTTCGTGCGAGTAGTCAGTCCGATGTTGTCTGGCGGCTACGTTCTCGGTGGAGGAGCCATCTGCATGGAGCTCCTGACTAAGCAGGTAACAGCAGCATCGGCTGCACACACGTACACACACACGTATCATCCACGTCCACAGATGTGAACGTGTACGTCGCACTGTTATCCCGCACGACTGTACGGCTGAGAATGTGTAGCTGGAAAGATGTCTGAAATTAAAAAGACGAGTGTAGGTTTGGAATCGGTAGGTCGGTGCAGGGTCTCCAACCATTCAGCATTCTGCGGAATCATTACGATTTCTAGGCCTAATTTCCGCATTCCGCAGCGGCAAGGTTATATTCCTCATTTCAGTTGCACTGTATAAAATTTGCACTGATTGTTTGCATTGTTCGCTTGGGCACATTGTTTTTTTTCAGCCGGTGCCTGGCACTGGCCACGCGCTGGTGCAGTAGAGATGCAGCAAGTTTATTAATAGCCATCACTGCGCGAGTCGTTTCTTGGAAATGCACGCTCTGCCATTACCTTAGTTTTGCACCCCCCCCCTACCATCGCTCAGTGTTGTAATGTGTTTCTATGCATTCTATATCTTGCATGTCTACGTTAAATGGAACAGCCTAGTCAGACAGACGCTGTCTGCAATGTGTCGCGTAGTTTGTCTGCTAATCAGATTAACACGTGGAGAAGAATGGCGTCCAATTGTCATTGCCATCCAAAAAACCAGACTTTTACAGAAATTCAGGAACGAATATACACAGATTTGGCCTGTACTTGTGAAGTCAAAACTCAGTGTTATTCATGGCTATTGCATGGTATGCAAGAAAGACTTTCAAGTGGAGCACGGAGGAAGGATTGACTGCCAGAGGCATATAGTCTCTCAAAAGCACAAGTGCTATGCAGGTGCAGTGGAATCTACACCCAATATATCAAGCTTCTTTGCAGCAGATAGAGAATTGTCTGTCTTGACGCAGAAGTGAGATTTACGACTTATTTAATTGAACACAATGTGCCTTTGAGGGCGGCAGAACCATGCCAAATGAACTCTTCAAGAAAATTTCCAGACTCACAAGTAGCCAAAAATATGGTTGCAACATACAAAAACACGATGAAATTCTGAGAAATTGCGCAATTTTACCGGGTGTTTTAATAATGATTATTACTATAGTAACCTAACTGTGTACGCTCTGAAAAGTCATGAAAGGTGTTTTGAATCCTAACTTGTAGCGGTTGAGTCTAGGGTTGAGATAGTGTCATTCAGAGCATAGAATTATGGCCACAGTAGCTCAGATGGCAGGAAAATGGCTTAAATTTCAAATTGTTCTGGGTGGCCATGCCCCCCAGGGACCCCGCTAGCACTGGCATTCCTACGGCAATGCGGCCTGCTGCGCGCAGCCAAGGATTAATTTCGTCCCCCTCCCTGTCTCATCAATTTCATCTGGCATTTGGAGTTCACAGGGTTGGAGACCCTGGGTAGAGGGTAGGTTTGCTGCCACCATTAGCAGCACCTTAATACTGATCTAGTTAATTACACTTCATCCGCATTCTATACTGGTGACCCGTGACTGCTTGTTTGCTGATCTCATTATTGGCCAGTGTTTCATTTTTGGGTGCGCCCTTAGCGTTAGCTAAAGCAATATTTATTGTAAAGGCCGCAATCCTGAATGCAGCGCCTGGCACAGCCCACCCGACCCACAATGAATTGTTATGGACGCAAAATTATTTTGATCAAGTACCCGTCCGCATTATAAGTATACATACTGATATTGAAGCTTCATGTACATTTATAATAAAGACATACCATTTTGATGCCTCCGTGAAAATTTTTTCGGGGGCATGCCCCTGGACCACCCTAGCAAGGCTTGGCGTCGTCGGCTCTCACAAGGACCCCTAAATTGGAACAATAGAGAGCCCAGGACCCCATTTGATAAATGGCTAAAACAAACACTGTTGCGTATGATTAATATGACTGGTATTTCTAGGGCTGGAGCAGTGCCTATTCCGTGGAGGCAGTCGTGATGCAGATATGTGCGACACTAGTGAAGGGGAAAGCTCGCATCCAGTTTGGAGCAGCGAAGGTGGTAAGTCGCATGATGATGAAGAGCGTATGGTATCTAGGCAACCAGGCTGGATCGTGATGGGCAAAATTTCCTTCCTATTAATAATGGGTGCAATGTGCTTATGAAACAGCATGATATATATCATGCAGAATGATCTAGTGATGTGCAGAATGATATAGTGATGTGCAGAATGATATAGTGATGTGCAGAATGATATAGTGATGTGCAGAATGATCTAGTGATGTGCAGAATGATATAGATCATTGCTGTTCCATCTCTTTATCTTCTAATTTTCCTAATTAGCAGAGAGTGGAGATACGTCTTGATTTGTGGTGACACTTACCAACTTATAGTTTAATAACACTTGTAGGAGTACCCAGCTCCTTATGCAGTGACTGGCATCCCTCCACGTTATTATCATGCTTTGGTAGGAATACCCAACTATTATATACAGGGAGATTTGTATCCCTGAATGGTGTTGTCGTAGTCTGATAGTAGAAATACCCAACTCGATTTTTAGCTCATCGGACATAGTCAGATGCAGCTTGTAGAATCGCATGAGCGTCCGTCCGTCCATCCGCCCGTGCGTTCGTCAACAGTTGGGCACAAATCTTAACCACTCGATGTACGGTCTTGATATGCGGGACATCGGGGGGGATCGCGAAAAGGACTCAGTATTTGGGGATCAAGGGTCAAAGGTCAAGATGTGTCAATGGAGGGGGAATATTTCCCCCTTAACTTAAGGTATAGGAGGAAATATCGAATTGCGGCACAAATCTCAACAGCTCGATCTACACTCTTAATATTCGATGTATAGTGTGATGGGGAGGAAACCCATCACCAGCGTGAAATTGGAGGTCACAGGTCAAAGAGCAGTGGGGGAAAGGTCAGACATCACACATTTTCTGAGGACATGGCCTAATGAACCGAGTGAAAAACTTGTTTATTTCAGCGCTGACCTACCATTTTTATCACTTTATTGAAAGGTCCATGAAATGTACTGTGTAAGTGACATGTAAGTGTCTGATAATCTTTTGACCTTCAAGAGGAGGGTTAAACATGGATTTGTTGACTGTTAACAAAGGACTGAACTGTGTTTGATGGTACTTGTGTGATCATGGAAGACTTAAATTTCAGAGTGAAATTCTGCATGCAAAACTTACTTGAACAACGTTTACACGCTTTAAATCATATATGAACTTCATTCTCTATATGAGATTCTTTACGTTGGGAATACAATGTCAATAGCACATACGCAAACGTTTGTTTTTGATTAAGGCCAACTATAAATAGGCCTACCTCGCAGGTGGGTGGCTGATTGTATCACAGCATGGGCTAAACGAAGGTAGCAACTAGTTCGGATTATGTATTCCCTGCACCTAGTCATTATGCACGCCATCTCAGGGGTCGAAATTAGCGGTATCCCGATATCCACGGGACAGTAGATTCTTGTGTTGGATACCAGATTTCAATGCTTGGTATCCCGCCGGGATAGTAAAAAAAAAATCATCTAAATCGGGATAGTGGTTGTTGAGCATATTTGCAAGCGCAAGCGTAAGCGTAGCCGATGTTGATCATAAATGTGATATGTTACTGTACACATTGTATCAAGCGAACCAGACAATGCGTCTAGACAATACGTCTGCAGTGTACTTGTCTGTGCATATCTGTGAATCTGTTTTCATGTTTTTATATAATAATTACATTACATATTAATAATTTTCAAATGCTATTATTGCATATTTCAAGGTTTTGGATATACCAACAATGTTGAAATTACTATCCAAAAAATGGGATACCAGATCTTTGGGGGGGATACCAGATTTCAATACCTGGTATCCGGAATGGATACCATAATGAAAATATAATTTCGACCCCTGCATCTATCGCAACAGAGTGAGAAGAATGTCCCTGCAGGATAGGTCAAATGTATATTGCGCTCAAAAGTGCAGAAAGAATTACTTTCTTAACTTAAGTTTAACCAATCTTGAGATAAGTAATTGCAGAAATGAATCGGCAAACCTACCAATGAAAATCCATCGGCACTTCCTCCACACAAACAAATCGATTCGTAGCCCTGTCCAGTATTCATGCATTGTAAAGTTCTTCATTTTACTTCAAAGTCACACTTGGGTATTTCTTACCCAGGAATAACTACTCTATAGCACGTTATGTACTAAGAAAACGGCATGTACTAATAACCAGCCATGTCGCACGGCGGCACTTGTTTAGCTTTGTGATTTGCACGTCTGCAGGATATTATTTTACTGTATGAGGAATATCTGGCTATATGCAGAGACTCTTATCTCTCTACCCAGTACTATCATACAATCTCTGTTTTGTTGCTGTATCTCGCGGTGTGTGGCTTGAGGCTTTCCATGTGTGTTTTTCAGGGACAGTACACGTTGGCTCGTGCTCAGCAGTCATTTCGGTCATTGGTGCAGATCCATGAGAAAAATGGCAAGTAGAAAATTACTTCGTGACGTGACATTGTCAGAGTCTTGGTGGAACAAACTGATCTGTACGTCTCCTGGCTGAGCGATTGAAACGCACCATGTGACACTGCGAGCCTGTCTAACCATGTCATCCGTCTGTTTCAGGATGGTTCACGCCGCCGAAGAAAGATGGGTGACGTCCCACGTTCACAAGCCGTGGAAAACTTGTGGATAACGGAGGCAACTTAGATTGAGAGAGTTGCCCTGCTGTGCCGAAAGGATTCAATATAGTAAATCACATACCTGCAATAGTGTATGGCGGCAGTCCGTTGCCCACTAGCCTAGTACCGAGAGTCAGTGCTGAGACGCAGGCTCTCGAATATGTAATTCTGGTACTAATTTTTTACACAGCGTAATCGGAGCGCATGCAACGCTTGTGCAGTGACGCCTTGTCGTTTTTATGCTGTGCCCCTTTATCAGAAAGCGATAGGTATTATGTCAAAATATAAATGCAAGTGTGTCTCTGAATTGTGTGCAGGTAGGAGTGTCTTTGCGTGGAGGAACGTGGATTTGTGTTTGAGCGTAGGGCGTGCGTGTGTGCGTGCATGCGTGCGTACGTGTATGCATGTATGGATGGTGGATGCATGTGAAGTTGATGTTATATTAAATTGCTACAATTTGAAGGTCAAGACTGTGTACAAATGTGTACAAAATAGTAATTGTGCAAAGAATTAGGCTACATATTAATAACTATGTATTGATATATTGCAGCCCACTGACACACAAAAAGTATTTTTTTCTCTCTCTCTCTCTCTCTCTCTCTTTCTCTCTCGCTCTCTTTCTCGCGTGCGCTCTCACTCTCTCACGCTCTCTCTTTCTCTCTCTCTCTCTCTCTTGTATTTGTATACATGCATTGAGCTATAATAATAATCTTGCTATAAGGTAACATGGACTTATAAAGAGATGATAGGAGATAGTGAACGTTTATAAGAGCAAGAGAGAGAGAGAAAGAGGGGGGATGAGGGTATGAAAATACAGATTGTTGATAGGTAAAAACTATATGTTATTACTATTAGGTATGTAATGTACCTACCCTGTGGGAATGCACGTCAGTTAAACTTCAACCTAGTTCTCTATACCGTTCTAGAATGCAGAAAAACTCTTTGCATTTTGTGTGCTTTCCAGTCTGCCTTTCTAGTGCACCTCATTGAGATAAGCTTTAAAATATCAATGTCTTATAATAGATAATAGTGAAATGGAGAGAGAGTGACAAGATGTTCTTTGGTACGTTGTGTGCAATGTGCAGAAAAATTACACCTAATTTTCTCAGATTAACTTCGAGGTGCGAACTTATTCATACAAACTGATGACAAGGCAGGTTGAAATGGTCACCTTTCTGCAGTAGATATGTACACTTAGATTAATTACTTGGTTGCTATGCCACGTTCGTTCCTAATTTTTTCGTCCGCTTAAGATTGCATTGAGGATATCACCCGGTGCGTACTGTGTCACTTTTGCAGCATTGCAATTAAAGAGGTCTATTCCTAGACCCTTGGGGAACTAGGCAGCGAAGCAAGTGTTGATGCTACAGATCTAGGGGGGGGGGGCATTGTCAGCTGGGTATCTGGCTGTCTGGCAATGATCATCCGTATTAGTGGTGGCTTGGGAAGATTTGCTACCTAATTACGTACTTGGTGTTGCAAAATAAACTTTTTTAACCATGTGGCAGTTGTACAAAAATGTTAAGATGTGTCGCTATTTTTGTGATTATAAAGTAATCTCCTATGTTTTTGCTGCCAACTCAATGTCTGGTAAGATAATATAAAGGAATCATTGTACAGAATTGCAATTCATTTGGCACACACACAACACATATATATATATATATACATATATATATATATATATATATCTGCTGGTGATTATTAAAAGCATACTGCTTTTTAAGTAAAGAATGTGAAGTAATTGGATAGTGAGAGACGTGAGAAAAACGAATCATATATTCACAAGCATAAATGTTAAGGGGTTTCGGTTACAAACACTGTAGGCGTACGTTTGTTTCTGTAGAGTGGCCCTGTCAGTTATTGATGCTATGTATAGTGCAGGCTGGTCACACTGCTGGGGAGCTTATACCGTTCTCGCTTGCGTAAAACTGGTAGTGTGTCGTTTGAGATGTAAGTAGTGTTGTAAACTTGTAGCTGCGATAAAATGGAATTCCGCTCTCACTCAATATGCGCTGGTCATTGGCAACCGTGTTTGTTTTGCTGACAGTTTTGGTGTAGCGGTTTGCCTGTGGGCAGTCACCTACGTGGTAGTTCATGTAGCAGTTGGCATACAGGCAGTCGCATACAGGGTAGTCGGTGTAGCAGTTGCATGAATTTGATGCTTAATTGGAGTCGACTACTAGGTTTGTAAACATTAACATCATAAGTGACTAATTCTAACAAGCTGGGAATGGGGTTGCACATTTACATGATATTATTGCACCTAGGTAGAGAACGTTGTAGTGCATGTAACAGCTGATATCAAGCTATTTTTCCAATGTAAAGTATCCTCTGTAATATTTATTAATTAAAGTGTTTTCACAATATGTAAAAATATATTTTGTGTTTTAATAAGAAATAATGATATAACATTCCACAATCAATTATGATAATCGATGCATGTCCATACTGTTGTAGCCCTGCTATCTGATCGTGACTCTAACTCGTCGGTCAGTGATCGTAGACAGTGACGGTCGAAGACGTCTTGTAGAATACAGACAGGTTTTATTCAACACATATGTTGCGACATACACTTGCACGTCTGTACGCGCTCGCCACACCCAGACCTTCCTCTCTCGATCCTTCTCTCCCCTTTTATACGTATCTACTTATGCCATGCTGTCACAGCTTAGTGGAAACAATACTAGCCAGGCCAGCGTGCTTTATTGCTCTGTATAATTCCGCCGTCCGGGTGACCGGTGTCGGCCATGTGCCGAAGAGTCATAGCTGTTGCACCCCTGTACTGCGTTGCATCATCTCTGCTATGGCGCAGTAACCTATTTCGCATTGCCACATTTCACCCCGCCATATTCAAATCAATTAAATTACCAGTTCTTTCTCTTGTTGATGTTGTTTAAGGTGATAAAGGATTATTTTTATTGTGCAGGGTGCTACACATTTTTTTTTCAACTTCCCCTGTCGGGCAAGTGGGTTATGAAAATGGTTGCCCGGAGGGAAAAATCACTTGCCCGAAAAACAAACAAGAGGTTTTTTTTCTAATATGAATTTAAATGGTAAATAACGTAAATGAGGGTCCAACTAGTCAAAATCCAGCATTTCACTTAACGGACCGGTAGAAAGTTGAACAGCTGATCCGGAGTTTGTATACAAAATATATTCATGTTGGGACACAGCACGCAGTTTGTTTAAAATTTTCCAAGTGTCAGTTTATTATCAAAAACCCACCACACACAATAAATTAATAAAACATGTTCAAGTTTATTTGGGGCTGGATTCGTAACCGCGAGAGAACCATAGCGGTGCATGCATGCAGATATAATAGGCTGACAGCACAGTATACAGTGTATCTGTTTTTGTGTACTTCAGCAAAGAAAATCTTCGTTAACAGGTTGCAGTAGAGGGGCAAAGATTTGAGGTTTGAGATTTACGCTGATCACGTAATGACCATGCCTGGCCTGGGGCCCGGGTTTACATGTTGCTGTGTGCATGTTGTGTATATCACGTAATGACCATGCCTGGCCTGGGGGCCGGGTTAACATGTTGCTGTGGCAGCATGTTGTCTATATCACTGTATCCACCGATTGTTTCATTCGCATTGTTTTTTTCATTCAAATCTTGTCGCAGCAAGGCAGCGCGATGTTGTGTCTGTGCAAAACAATGCAAGGGACGGGTGGAAACAGAAAAATATCATTATGTCTAGCATTCAATAAAAAAACTTGCTTGCCCGGGGGCGAATTTTGGTTGCCCCGGGCAAGCGGGTTTGTCGCACCCTGTTGTGTATCCAATAATAACCAGAAAAGCATTAACAAGCTAAACATCAGCAATTAGTATTTCATATCAGTTTATTTTATAATAACAATTTTTAACACGCAGAACTCTCATCTGAATTTCATTGCCAAAAAATGGTTTTACTACAAGCTTCTTGATAAGCTGAGTGGATAATGTTTCCTATGAGCAAACAAGAAAATCGGTCAAGCTAGTGACAGAAAGTCCAGTACAGAATATGTCACCGATCAATCTTGGTTATGTACTCTGTGCACAACCCAAATTTCTATTTGTTCCTACTATTTATAATCAACCTCATAAATAAACAAACATTTCAAAAATGACGAGACCTGTCCTCATATAATTATTAATAAAGTTGGACTGATTTCATTTCAAAAACCAAATCTATTTACATTTACTAACAAACGAAGCAACACAAGAGCTGTCAACATGTAGTACATTTCAACAGCCTGGATCAGAATGGAACTTCCTTCAGTTTGGATCCCCTCTCTGGAAAGATGTCAAAACATTACAATTTATGCCAGACATTCTTATTACATTCATCTATATAAGAGACATTTTGAGGTAGTTTTTCTCATGTAGACCAATTAAATGCAAAAGAGATTTTGGTCTGCATTAAAAAATTATAATTTTTCAGTATGAATTACATTTTATATTATATTATTAGGAGTGAATAGAGAAAAACCAATTTCGTTATATAGTTAATGCATTTGTTTTCATTCCCTCCCGATATTATTATATGTTTGATAGTAAAGTGATAGCGCAAGTTTGTTGATTGTTCGACTATAGTAACAGTATTATATGTTTGATAGTAAAGTGATAGCAAGTTTGTTGATTGTTCGACTATAGTAACAGTATTATATGTTTGATAGTAAAGTGATAGCAAGTTTGTTGATTGTTCGACTATAGTAACAGTATTATATGTTTGATAGTAAAGTGATAGCAAGTTTGTTGATTGTTCGACTATAGTAACAGTATTATAGTTTGTTCTTAGTAGGCTTTTTGTAATCCTAATCTTCAGCATCCTTAAGGAATCTTTTAAAGCAGACCATTTATATTAATAATAAAACCATGATCTAAATCCTTACCCCATTGATATATTCAAGTTCCTCTTCACTGATTGGTTTCCTTTGAAAACGTACAGGAAGATCTACAAATGGAATCCCAGAGCCACGCATTGTGTTACCGATCGCTGGTCCAACTGGATCCAGTGTGGATGGTGTTGTGACAGCTGCCTGTAGTGGTGCAGCCAAGGCAGATGCTTGCTGTGGTGCTGGTGTATCGGATGCACCTGAAATCATCCCTGCAATCATCACGGAGTACTATTAAAGTATTAACCCTAGATCACCTGAAAAAGTTTGGAATCATAGATGCTGAAAAGTGAGGCCAGGACAAATCTAAGATTTACACAGCCAATGATGCCATTATTTTGTCAGATACGAGTACACAAAAAATTTCTCGTTCACTTACTCGCACGCACGCACGCACACACACAAATGCACAACTGCACACACACAAAAATGCACAACCGCACACACACACCTGCACACACAAATGCACAACTGCACACACACACACACAAATGCACAACCGCACACACACATTGCCTTGTTCTTTGAAAAAAAAAAACTAGAATAAAATTGATCTAGTCATTACTAATTACATACTGTGTAAAGACAGTCACATAGTAAACACTAACAGGTGTGATTATATACCACTACTCACGTACGATTTAAGCCATGAGATTTCTTCCCAACACCATATCTAAACTTGATCAATGGAATATGTTGCCGAATAACCTAGAACAAGAAGAAATACACCTTATGTATACTAATTAGTTGATTTTTGGAGTAACTCGGACCCCTCCTGATGTTAAACTAATCACAAACTAGCTAACGCTCTCTTTCTAACAATATTACAATAGGACAAGCCACCCATTTGAGGAACGTTTGCATTTGTTTGGGCAAGTCAAGTTTAAGTGAGAGCAATCGGAGGCAAGCATCCCAAACAAACAGGCCAAATCTCAGTTTAATATGACGCAACATATTTATAGAATTTAATCAACTTATTAGCAATTCATGCTGCTACGACGTGATTATCGATGGGTGATCGGTGGTTTATTGATACTGAAACGTGCCTAACCTCTCTACATAAGTTGTCGGAAAATTACCAATTGACCAATCATATTTTGTCAACCGTAACAGTAAGCTTAAATATCTATGAGCAGAAACTCGCAAACAATAATTATATAAAATTAAAAACCCTAATATACTAATTACTAATACTAGTAACTAATACTATGTTGTTGACTAGTGTAGTAGTGACTAGTGTAGTAGTGACTACTGACTTAGTGACTAGTGTAGTGCAAGGAGCTAAATATAACAAGGAGAGGAAGCGGAGAGGCTGTGTGCTTTTCGCCTCAAGGACGCCATCTATGGACCATAATCAGCTGAAACGGCTGTGCAGACGCGGGAATTAGTATACTTTCCCACGGACGTAGATTGCGTGTGATCGGCTCTGATTGGCTAATTTTGTTTCTTATTTATTTTTATTATTTTTGGCTAATCTTCGTTTTAATTTTGTTTTAATTAGGGTTAGGGTTAGGTGTTAGGATTTAGGGTTGGTTAGGGTTATGAAAATGTGGACATCATAAGACGTGATTCACGGGTGCCCCTCAAATCTATGCCCGTGGTAGCCGACCATTGCTGTGCGACGGGATTGTCTATACAGCCTGACACCTTCCATACAAAAACCTATCACCTCTTCGCAGATCTAGATGATTAACTCTGTATATTCAGATTCAAAACTATTCTATTACCACCTTTTGACTTGGCCTTGGTTTGAAATTGAACCGTTAACTCACAGTTTGTCCTGCTGTCTAAACTAGGAATGTATTCTCTTAATTCACAGATATAATCTGGCTAAATTCTCACAGCAATATCAAACTTTCCAATCAGGCCAAACCAAAAAAAAAATACTTTGGTCTTCGGGTCAACATGGATTGTGAAAATTAGAGTAAGCCTAACATTTTTTTTTTTTTTTTTTTTCTGCAAAAACATGGGTAGGCAGGAATAAAATAAATTTTTTTTTTCACAAGTTAAATATTTAGGGTTACAGCTTAAAATGCAGGAGCCACAAGGTTGCAAATGACTTGCAGTTGCATGTTACCATTTCTGCAAGTCATGACATTGTTTCTTCCAAAATTGTGAACACCAGTTCGTTGTTACTGTTGCGTTGTACGGGTATTTTGTGTCGTGTACCTGATAGTAGTGTTAAGGAATCGCTTCCAAAAAACGGAGCTCGTTAATCGTCCCTTGGAACAACGCGAGTAACCGAAGTGTAAACGGACTCTGCGCGCGTTATAAGCACGATAGCATGCGTTTTACTATATTAGTACGCGATCGATCGCAATACATCAAGCCGCCGCTGCGCCATCACGACCTTCAGGCTCTGTTTATGAACGTAGCGGGCCCAGGCTCTATGACGGACTCGTTTTCACGTTGTAGGACTTCTAGGAAACGTAGGTAGGGAACTGTTTCACTTCGCAGCCAACAGAAGTCTCTGTTATTAAATATTTTGGGCGAACTCTCCTTAGGTAAATAAAATGACAGAGTCGGATATTTGAATCATTGTATGATCGGCCAGGCAAGTATCTCTTTGAATTTATATTCTTTTCTTGAAACCTCTAAAAGTTGACGCAGTCGCAACATTTTATTCACTCCGAAATTGTGAAGTTCGGGGGGTTGACCCGAACCAAAAGGGGGGTTTTTTCTTTTAATTTTTTTTTAGGTTGGGCCTCAGCTTTACCCGCCATGTTTAGCGAGGCACCGGAAAACCGCGGAAAACGGAAACAAAAGCACTTGCTAGAAAATACTTACGAAAATAAGTACGATGGCTCTCACGGCAATTACACACCAAAGCAACGTGAAAACCGATTGTTTCACCAAATGTCTGGGCCATTTGTAAAACCGGCTAGATGCACATGTTCTCGGATGTTGGGTGGTTTACATGGAGGGACGCAGATCGGCTAATTTCGCTTGTTCGATCCCATTAACGGATTTTAGTCAGCAGTCGGGAATGATAGCAAACATGGCGGCGAATTCAATAATTCTTGTTTGCATTTGTCCTCAAAAAGTCGCTAATTGTAACCCCGTAAGTACCACGCATGTCAGCGCACTTGATGGTTTTACAAAAGGTTGGACGTATACTGATTCATTTTGGTATATCACATGATGTAGTGTTTCCTCTTGGCGATACTCTGGCAAATAAGGCGCAACTACGTGTTTAGCTGCAGCCAAGGTTTTTGAAACGTATTCTAACCCTAGCAGCAAATACCGTTTCTGGAGGCTATGCCCGTGGGAAGTGACACCCTTGCAGACCCAAAACCCAGAAGACAATAGAAACACTAATCTGTTTCTAGCGCCAATATGGCCAAATATGCAAAGATTTTGGGCCAGATATGGCGGCGCTTCCTCTCCTTGTTATATTTAGCTCCTTCAGTCCTTGGTGTAGTGAAATCTCCAAAATGTCAATCACTAAATGATGTAAATCAGTAAATGTTAACTTAGTTAGTTGTTGTCCTATGCAACATGAAATCACGCAATGAATTAACTTTGACAATATATTTATAAGAATACTTTAACAACCCTATATCATACTAGGCATTCTAATGATAATTACAACGTCGATTTTTATGTTTTGTAGGTTACCTGACTTATTTTGATGGGGGTAGCCATGTTTACACATACCTCTCAGAACAACTGCCCTATGTCACAGAGCCCTTTGCACGCGCATAATACGCAGTAACCTTTATTATTACGGATGTACACTAAATAATGTTTTTTAATTATATGTAGAGATTGACAAAAGCAACAAATATTTTTTCTCAGAAATATGATAGATAAATATTTGTACGTGGACAGTACAGTTGCCGCTAGATGGCGTAAGCGGATAATGCGGACACAGATTTTAGATCCTGGTCATTCATCTGTGTATGTTTATATGTTCGTTCCTCTCATTTGGTTTTACGTGCATATCCGCCTTTACTGAGTACACCCACTCTAGGATACCTATATCGTGCTAGGCCAGTTAAATTACATTAGGTTTTCAAGTCGAGTTAACCCAGCCGCGAGTTGTAAACGTGGTTCAAATTATCAATAACATGACCAGCTGACTTGTAAGTTGTATGTTGTGTAAATTAGACGCGTCAGCGTAACCCCTCCCCCCCCCTACTCACTGGCCACCTTTTCAGGCTTTTGCATTTTGGCACACAGACATGTTGTCGATGCACAGAATAACTGCCTCTCGAGTTCATAGTGGTGGTGATGAGAGCTGTAAAACTACTGCTAACAGACCGTCATTAATGACAAAGTCAACGACGTGGTGCTACACAGGTGCCACTGTTGGTAGCAAGAGCCTGAGCTTCTTCAAAATAGCAATAGCTGTGATATGCCTCAGTTGTGCCATATCCACCGTACATGCAAAAGGAGGAGAAGGCGACTCGCCGCATCATGACGGCGAGCTAACTTATCAGAATCAGTGGGCCGTAGAATTGCACGGCTGTGGCGAGGGTGGAGCAGGATCGTGTGATGCGGTCGCTAACGAAATCGCGCTCAAGCATGGCTTCGTCAATAGAGGACAGGTAAGTGGTGGTCAAGCACTGTTTGTGCACCGGATTTTATACTGTTTGGTTTTTAAATGTCCACAGTGTCTGTAATCTGATGTATGTGTGTGTGGTGTGACGGTATCTGTGATGCTTAAACTGAATGTTAGGTATTCCCCCGCACCAGCAAGCTAAGTGGCATAGTTTAAAAGTAATGGGCAAATTAATATTTAGACATAATAGGGAATCCCCCGCACCAGCAAGCTAAGTGGCATAGTTTAAAAGTAATGGGCAAATTAATATTTAGACATAATAGGGATCATTCAATTCAATCCAGAATATTAAACATGGAGTATTCTTGATTGAAGTTAATTACATAATCTCACTTGATAAGCAATACATTTGTAGTCTAGTTACACTCATGACCTAAATAGTACGATCCAAGTGAGTGACCGATTGCCCTCTACACTGTTGTCGCCAATTATCTCTATCACTCGCTCCTGGCGGTCTCCCAGTTGATGTTCATGTCTGCCTGCTGCTGCTTCATCAATCTCAGCCAGGTAGTAATTGGTCGACCGACTGGCTGATCTAAGTACTGTAGGATAAAGCATAAGAAATTGGGAACAAATGCCTCCATGGGGAATGTTTTATGTTTGTTGGGGAACCACCTGAATGTGGAACCTTAGAAACCTGCTCAGTATTTTGCTCATCTCACCATGAAGAGTTAGTTGGCAGGCAACCTCTAACGCTGACACTTCTTTAACGTGAGGTAGGGACATACTGCATTAATTCAGTCACGACTCACATACTACGCTGCTCTGTTTTCTTATTTTTTGGATTATCAGTTCTGTTCAACTCTTGTCCTTAATTGCTTTTATAAGGTCTCTTGCTTAGAATTGTAGCGGAGTTATGCTTGACAGTTACAGCCATTATATAAAGGTTGAAAGAAATTCCACGATACAGAGTATAACTGTGTATGTATTGTTAACTGGTCAGTGAGAGTGGAACCAATGCCTGAATATTTACTCCACGCTTTGTGAACTATTCGCATGCATCTAATGATAACTTGTCATAACAGGAATACATATGTATATATGCATTTTAGCAGGCTATTAGTATCACACGATATGGCTGTATATTCGTAGGGTACATTTTAGGCTACTCTTCGCTTTCATACTCTTTATCTTGATCTTCCCTTCCCATTACCAAAACCAAAATCATGGAACACACACAATCCATCACTCTTTGCATATATATAGTAACTCAATACTTACCAAACCACACTCTGCACACATAGCAGCTTTGTACAAAGATACAGGAAAACATGCAGGGCTAGTAATAGTATGCTGTGACCCATAAGCTGGACATGAAATGTACAGCTGTACCTAGGTCTAGCTACTCTGTTTGCATATATGTAGAAATTCAATAAATGGTTGGCAGCCTTACTCTAGGGGGTGGCATACTTATGTTACAGGGCATCATACTTATGACCATATATCAGATACAATCCGAGACTGCCTACCAACCATTCAAAATGGTGTATTTCAAGATTTATTGTATTCTATAATAACATTTTACTGTCTTTACTCTTATAGTTTGAGACATTCCTGGGATCTGTAGCTTTCTATATAAGTTGACAGACCATTATGTAGACTATAACTTAATATAATTCTAGCTGGTTTACATGGACTAATTCATGTTAGTCAATGTTGCATGACTTGGTAATTTACCAGGTCTTGTATTTCAGCAAAATTCCTGACTCAGCCAATGCCAACACTTACCTTGCCTAAAAACGTTCAAATTCAACCCCTGTACTATCACTAAATAGATTACTTCATAATCAATAATGTATTTCAGGTTGGAAGTTTGGAGAAGTTCTACCTGTTTGAACATGAGCATGTGCATAAGCGATCGTTGGAACATTCAGGTCACATGCACACCCACCTGGTAAAGGAGCCACAGGTAAGTGATTTATCCCTGACAGTATCAACATGCCGCTTCACTGAGGAGAAACAGCTAGATATAGATCAGAAGTAGATAATAGGGAATTCTTTATTATCTACTTCTGATATAGATCAAATAATTAAATCTGGATCACACGAGTCAATTTTTCACTGCCTTGCATCGTCTGTCTCTACTGCAATAAAGATAGATTTCATTACCATATTGTCAGTTGATTTTTACTGAACCTATCTGCTAGGTCACCTTGAACCCACAAAACAACTTCTAAATACATGTGCCTTTATGTGGATTTTCCTTCTTTCTTGGACATAGCCTGACATACTGATTACGTCACCGTAAATAGTAAAAGTAAAAAAATCATGTCCACTTTTTCACAAAATGTAAGTAATTCTGTTCACTTTTTATGGTTAAATTCCTGCATTATACTTCCTATTTTACTATATTGTTTGATCTAAACATACACCTGTGACTCACAGTGTGACTCATACATAGCCCATAGCAAGAAATTAATGTCAGAATCATAATCTCAATTCGTCCAGGTTTTTTGGATTTTTAACTAGTTGAGAAACAATCTTATCAGGTAAGAATTTGAGGATACATTTAGTCCCGTTAGTACTTACTTTTTAAATGTAAAAAATGGCAATTATTTTTTGCAAATATACACCATAAAAAATTCGTGACGTAGTCAATTTAACGTGAAGAACACTGACTAATTCTCCTGTGCCCAGCTGTGGACATTGTATACATGTGTCACCCCTACTGTGCCCAGCTGTGGACATTATATACATGTGTCACCCCTACTGTGTTCTTCTTACTTACTCCCAATAAGGGTCAGACTGCCTGCCTGGGTTACTGTTATATATAGCATCCCATTTCTCTTAGGTTCTAGTGTGCATGTCCTAAACCACTGCGGGGCTGCGCCTCTTTGTGGTTTCTACTTCCCTCTACTACACACTTGCATGGTATGGTACAGTAAAACTGTATCATCTATCCCGGACCTATTGATTATGATCAATCCATATCAGGCACCAATATTGACCACTATGATGTCTTCTGAGCTAGGCCTAGGCTACTATATCACGGCAACTTTGATCTCATCGTCCCTCCCCGCCACCATCTACCACTCTCACTCTCCCCATCTCTCACCCTTCTCTCACTGCCTCTCACTCTCCCCATCTCTCACCCTTCTCTCACTGCCTCTCACTCTCCCCATCCCTCACCCTTCTCTCACTGCCTCTCACTCTCCCCATCTCTCACCCTTCTCTCACTGCCTCTCACTCTCCCCATCCCTCACCCTTCTCTCACTGCCTCTCACTCTCCCCATCTCTCACCCTTCTCTCACTGCCTCTCACTCTCCCCATCCCTCACCCTTCTCTCACTGCCTCTCACTCTCCCCATCTCTCACCCTTCTCTCACTGCCTCTCACTCTCCCCATCTCTCACNGCAGATCCCAGATATCCCTCCCACCCGGAGCCAACGAGGCATGGCCGACGTGGTTATGCCTAAATCGCCTCCGGACAGGTTTTGGTTGATGTAGGGCACTCATGCAGAAATTGGGATACACAGATGGCCCAACCAAATGCGACTGCGGGGTGGACCAGACTTTGGGACATCTCCTGAAATGACCCCTATTACCAGAGCCCTGTAGCCCTGGAGACCTTAAGGCTTTCAACCACCGTGCCAGGTCCTGTGTGCTGCAGTGGCTAGGCCGAGTGTAGTGTAGCGACCCGAGAAGAAGAAGGAGAAGAAGAAGAAGACAAAGAAGATCAGAAGTGTAAAGGGCTTCATAATGACTGGCTACAGTGAGGCTAGATAGTCACCTAAACCAGATGTAATAACACTAAATTATAGGGTCCCGTGCACTCCTCTATAGCCGTATAATTTTATTTCAAAACATTTTACGTATATCAGGTCACATGTCTCAACTACAGCGACTTTATTGGCTCTGCATATTTCGATGAATATTACTAAGTCGTATCGTCCACAGTATGAGGTTTTATCCTTATATATTTATATATCCTGTGCGCAGGTGATGATTAATTACATTACAATCCATCTACTTTACGTTGCTTACTAGCAACACGTACGTACTTGTACAGAAGTATGTCGGCTGATTGCAGAATTGGATAGACGTACAAGCCAAGAGGCACCTCCTTTAACTTTCCAGATTTCTCCTGGAAATCACAGGTAAGTATAACTTAAAAAAAATAAAAAATTGAATCTAATACATAACATAGGAATAGCTTTTCGCATGCCAGTGGTGCATCCCATTAAAAAGGATACTTCTCCAATAACAAAACCAGGGAAGGAATGACAAATGCAAGAAGCTTAATAAAAAAAATGAAAGCAGTTATCTTGGGTTTGGCTATGATACCCTCGTGATGGATGCTTGTTACTTTTACAAATCGTTCATATATGATTGATTAACCTTTTTAACGATCAAGTGCTTTCTAGCCTGAGTACGTATGAATAATACTGAACAACAAATAATCACTTGCGAAATGCTGTACACATATTTCGAGTACGGCTACGATCCAATTTGCTAGTAGATTTTATATTAAAGCACTGCAGTCATCATCTGATGAACAACTATTTCTACAAATGACAATTACCTTAAACATGGGAAGCCGAGCAAGACGAGCCATAGTTGTATGGCAACCTAGTATCCAGCTGAGCTCTGCATGTGCTGAGACCTGTAAAATATCGTGGTTATCATAGCTGTAAGAATAGATTTTTCTTGAAGGACGAGTCGGACTGCTACCAGGATTGACCAACAATATTATAGTAGATGTAGGTGGATCACTTAGCCTACGTTTAATTTATTAACATCTAGTAGTTAACCAATTAAAGTTACAAATTGAATTAATGACTAAGTGACCAATGCTTTAAATGGGTTTTTTATTAATCACAAAATTAAACTATTCCCAGATTTCCACATCACTTTCACAGTTACCTGTAGAATAATTAACACTTAAAGTTCAACCTATTGTTATAACAAACCTGTACAGTTAACTTGATTATTGTCTACTTACCGATGACTGTTGAAAAAGAATGCTTCGTGTTGGATCTACACCACACGCCAGTAAGCAAGCAGTCATGTCCAGGATGCTCTTTCTGTTGTTTTGCAAAAACGACATAAATAATAAAAAAGAATTATAATGGTAACCAAATGTTTACTTCTTCTCTTCTTCTTGAGTCATCCAATGCCGTGCAGCGTCGGTGAAGTAGTCACAAAGTTCGAACTCCTGGTCCTCGATCGACCATTACGGCGTAAAGGTCTGCTCCTGTGAGGCCGGTGTCCCTCTCGATGACAGGGTTCAGGGTTCAATGTTTACTTACAACAAGGTTTAGTAAAGAGATTTTGCAGTAAATTTAGTTTCAATTGGTTACGTTTAATTTCTTTACCTACTTGAAGATAATGGAGAAATTATTATGTTAAAATATCAATAAAAAATATGATAAATATTTAGCATTTTGCATATGTACATTAATGTGTACCTTAGAGCCTTGGGATCTTGTGGCATTGTTATAGAATGAAGATCCACTATACAGTAGATAACCTTGTCATATCCATGATCTTGCAATTTCACCCAGTTTTCTACTGCCCCAAAATAGTTACCTGAAAGAAATAAAACACTGGTATGACTATGAGCATGCAAGTAGGGCAGATTGATATTGCTCTTGCTGCTGCTGTTGTTGTTACCGTATTGTTGTTGTTGTTGGTGTCGTTATTGTTGTTGTTGGTATTGTTGTCACTGTTGTTGTAGATGAGACACCTCAAGGATAAAGCAAAGACTGTCACATAAGACTGATCATAATCATTTTGAAATAATTCAACAACCAATTGGCCTGGGTTTTAGCATACATTCATGTGTACAAGGCTATCGACTGTGATGCCATTGGACGATTTATATGCAGCAAGTTTCTATAATAATAAACATATATATAAATATACCAATGTGTAGATCCCCTGTAGGCTGGACACCAGAAAAGACATGCTTAGGAAACCTCAAATTATCAACGTCATTCTGAAATAACACATACACATGAGTTGCACTATCACAGTAGAATTTATTTCCAAGTAGAACCTATTACCTGGCCAGCTTGACTAAACACAATAAGAGTTGATGACATCCAATGTCCATTAAATAATTGATTAAAAAGGGGGGACTTATAACGTGACAAGTTGTTCCACCTAGTTGTTATATGAGTGATGTTTTTTAAACATGAAAATGATAAGAACCAGTGTAACAGCTATGCCTGTTGAAGAAGGGGGGGGGGTAGCTATGACTGGTATAGATAATAGCCTGAATTAGAGAAAAATATGGCTATCCCTAGGAATTTAGAAGCCATGTCATTTATGAATGGATAGGGAAGGGCCGGTACGGAAGGGAATTGCATCAAGTGGAATCAGTTACATGAGTCATAAGTGACCCCAATTCAAAGGTGAACTCGATCATTTTTAAGACATACATCAAGCTGTGAAAACAGCACATGACTGCCTGTCATATGTGTCAGGATAGTCAAAAGTTCACAGCTGGAAATTAGAAGTAGAACATGTCGATTGGGCAATTATTGAATTAAGGCACGTCAGAGAACAAATATATGCCATGGTATGTTGTAATTTACATTCAGCTTTGAAGACATGCCAGACCCGGCCGACATGTGTTTAATAAATTAAATAATTAATTATCATTCATTAATTAGTATCACAGGCCTGGGGAGACAACCATGGCCCGGCAGCACTGCCAGCAGTTGTCAGGGATGAAACGTTTAAATATTCTGGAACTTAACAATTATAAATTAACAATTAACAATCAAGGAAATAGACACATTGTAGATAGCTCTACTCTAGTACTATATAGCCCGCTTACATTAACTGCCGCTGGCGGCCACTGGCAGCGGCACTTGCACTTGCACTTGCACTGCACTGGCACTTGAACTGGCACTGGCACTTGCACTGGCACTTGCACTTGCACTTGCACTGGCACTGGCGGCCACTGGCGGCCACTGGCACTTACATTAAAATGACTATTGCGAGATTTTTGCTCAGTAAAACTAAATGTAGCTGAATATAGTCTCATCTGACAGCGAAAATATCACTGATTACACCAACATTAAAAATACCAAGATTTTATGTAGTTATAGCATAGAAAATTGGATATGAACACATCGTAACAGCAATGCATTTTATCGTGTCGCGACAATGCCTAATGGCAGAATTGGTAAACTTGTATTTGTGTCGGTGATGAATTGAAAACAAGTGCATGATTTGAGAGAGCCATATGCTTTGTCTATGGCAGATAAGTGGTGGCGCCACAAGCTAATCCACACGTCCGCCTAGTTCAAGATAACAGAAAACGAATGTTTACGAAACTAGTTCGAAACCAGTAGTTCGAAACTGGCAGTTTTTGGTGAATACGAAGGTTCTACGACATTTTATTGTTACTCTAGACAATTGCTGTTACTCAAGCAATAACGGTAGGTGTCATGAAAGTGGTCAAAACACTGGGAAATTCTCGCAATAATCGCTTTAACTGCCGCTGGCCGCCAGCGGCAGTTAATGTAAGCGGGCTATAGTACTAGAGCTACATTGTAGACAGTAGTGTGTACATTATAGTAACCACCGCCGTACATCATGCATGCAACACATGATGTAGCGGTACATGTTCAACTTCATGTTGTAACTTAAGTTGTAGTTGTAGTTCACTAGTTCAAGTAGTTGTATGATGATTGATGATGGCATTGGACAGAATGCACAGACTGCGAAATGTGTAGCTGCGGTTTGGTTATAATCATTTATGACAGAGTGTGTTGCGGTAACAGTACAAGTTAATGAAACAGAAACGTGATCGAACCGTTATTTCGGAATTAAGTTTGCTCCCAGAAGAAAATAGCCGACGTAGTTGCCGACAATGCCTGTTTATGGAGGCTGCCATCTTCAACACTGTTGCGCGCGCCACCTATTATCAGTCGAAGACATCATAGAACGCTAGTGGGCGACCAATGGCAATGTGTCATCCGTATACCCCACTGATCTCTAACATTATATTACATTATAGTATATATTACATTTACATTATACTTACATTTATATTACATAGTATAATTAGTTAATATAATTAGAGTTTTAGTTAGTATAATAGAGATCAGTGGTATACCCCCACAAATATAATATTATCAAGAACTTATTATTAATGCTTATTATAATTACATACATCTCAGTGATGGCCCCCCACAAACTTGGCGACGTAAAAAAAAAACAAGGCAGCAATCACTGTTTAACAGAATGTTCATTTATTAGCATTTTATTGGCTATTTGTCGCGATGTATTATCAACTGTCATTTTACTTGTAAACACAAACAAAGACTTTTAATTATCATTATAACGTTTATAATTGCAATTGTTCGTAAAAGCACAATTATTACAATAATTATTTGGACAATCCTATCCAGCATAATACTATAGAGTATAACGCATTAGGTAAACTAGTGCTCTGATCTTTTGGAGATCGAGAAGAGTGTATATATATATATATGGCGTTAGTTTCATCTGGAACCACACTCACGCGGTGAGTGGCAGGCACCTCATTGCAACCGACTAAAATACATATATAGCTAGCTCTCAATTGCAACCACCAAGAATCATCAACCAGGAAAAAGTTGCTACACCCAAGTTCCCTCATATTCACGTCAGCGAAGCAGGTGCCTGTGCCAGGCGGGATACCAGTGCGACTAGAGAGAAGGTGCTGTCAGTCTAACTAACACCTGCGTCACAACGACGCCACCACATATACTAAAGAATACATTTATATTTCTACACTTATTACAATTTCAGCTACGTTAGAACAGGGTACAGTACCATCGGAATTCAAGTGTTCTGCCAATGTATCTACCTATCTGTTTGCCCATACACATATATACACGCCCGAACGCACGTATACGCTCGCACATACCCATAAATATGTTTATAAATTTCCGAGTTGCCAACAGCTACGAGGCGTAGTTAGTTTATTTTTGCGTCCTTCGCTCAAATCGTCGTACCGTACTCGTTACCGGACACCACCGCGACACCGCGCTCTCTAACCATTATATCCAACTGTTCGTAACACTCCGGCTCCACCACCGCATGCCCACCACCAGCTGCTGCACTCGAGGCAACCGATGGCGACAACGCGGACTCGAAGGAGTCGTGCGTGACCGTGACTGGACTCGCGTCAAGGCGCATTGCCGTCACGTCGGGCATTTCTTCGTAGATGGCTTCCGACGTCGGGACGGCAGACGATGCGGCGACGACGGCGGAGGCTGAAATCGTCCGAACGAACGGATTCAGACGCGGCTTAGGTGCGGGCCGCGGACGTAAGTTGCGTTCGTTCACGGACGGACTTCTCGTCACGGCGGCCCCTGGCGGCGTCGGCGGCGGACTCGCGCCACCTAGCGGAGGGGTCCTGCTCGCTAAACAGCGCGTGAGCGACAGAGAGAAACCCTCACCGGCGGCTGTCACGGGCGGCAACGGCCGCCCGCGCGTAACTCCGCCATCGCACGTGGCGACACCTCGCGGCTGCTCGCTTCGCCACGGATGCCTGCTGGCGGACGACGGATGCTCTGCTGGTTCCGGCGGGGTGAGACTGCCGCGGCCGCCGCCCATCCAGGCGTCTCCTCTGGGGTGTCGTTCGGGTTCGGCGTAATGATAGAGATCCGAGCCCGCGTCTGAGAGAGAAGAGATGAAGGCGTTGAGACAATGACGGGGGTTATAAATATATAAAAATAAAATAATATATCTTGGAGCGTAATTGTACTATCGAGTTCGGCTCCGTCAAGAACAAACTATATCGCATTAGCGAAACGCTACTGGGATTAAAACGTCGTCTATACGCATGCGCGCGCACATGCCCGCACACTCACACACACAGACACACACACAGACACACACACACACACACACACACACACACACACACACATACAGACACACGTACGCGCACACGCCCGCACACTCACACACACACCCACACACACACATACAGACACACGTACGCGCATACGCCCACACGCTCACGCACGCACACATACAGACACACGTACGCGCACACGCTCACACACGCACACGTACACGCACACGTACAGACACACGTACGCGCACACGCCGGCACGCACACGCACGCACATATACAGACACACGTACGCGCATACGCCCGCACGCTCACACGTACACGCACACATACAGACACACGTACGCGCACACGCCCGCACGCTCATACACGCACACGCACGCACATATACAGACACACGTACGCGCACACGCCCGCACGCTCACACGTACACGCACACATACAGACACAAGTACGCGCACGCGCCCGCACGCTCACACACGCACACGTACGCGCATACGCCCGCACGCTCACACACGCACACATACAGACACACGTACGCGCACACGCTCACACACGCACACGCACGCACATATACAGACACACGTACGCGCATACGCCCGCACGCTCACGCACGCACATATACAGACACACGTACGCGCACACGCCCTCACGCTCACGCACGCACACATACAGACGCACGTACGCGCACACGCCCGCACGCTCACGCACGCACACATGCAAATGTACTGCATGTACTATGCTATACTGTAAGGTACAAATGTCTACGTATTGGATAACATTGTTTTAAAATTAAGTTTAACTTTTTCTTCTTAGTTTTCAACTTTTTTACCTATACCTGATATCCTTTTATACGGTATCGTAGCGAAAAAATGTATACATATTGCGTAATTTAAAAACAACAACAATTTTTCCTAGTTTTTTGAATTTTTTTACCTGTATCTGGTACGTTTACGTCCTCGTAAACGTGAGGGTCGTTATCACCCTCGCTGATGTCCTGCATCTGAGGTGACACGGGAGAGAGGCGGCGCGGTGGTGTCGGCGGGGGTGACACGTCGGCAGTCCGTGCGCGACGTTTCGCAAGTTTATTGACGACCGCATATACGTCCTGACGTCCATGCGGTCTGGAAAGCAATATTCAATATTCAATATTCTGGAATCAACAATTGGCTATTGATCTGTTGGTGTCGCTAGAATGTCTTATCATTGTTCATTGAGAATGGAACGGTTTTTTGGGGTGATTAGTAAAGTTGAGGATAGACCAGGAGTGGAATTTGTCTAGCCGGCTTATAGTGTCCAACAGAATGCATGGACATTGAAATTGTGACCGTCTTCCTGGTAGAAAGCACAGGAAACGGAGTGCATGCACTCACTAACGTCTATTACAATAAACATATTTATACTACAATGTGCGTGTGTGCGTGCGTTCGTGTGTGCGTGCGCGCGCGTGTGTGTGCGTGTTCACCTATCGTGGCCCTCCGTGTCACAGAGTGCGTACAGCGCCTCTACTGTTATATATACATATATATATATATATAATATATATATATATATATATATAGATATATAGTATCAGCGAATACCGATTTTGGTTCATTAGTTGGCGTCAGTCGTTGTTGCGCGACCATGTGGGCCTGAATAGCCGTATCGTCTGTTGTGTGGTGGTGGTTTTCTTTGATATCAGCTGTATGTTGTGAGCGCTCATATGCTGCAAGACGGTTAATGATAAACCAGCATGAAAACGTTGTAAAAGTAAATGACAATGCATAAATGCATCAATAAACAAGTATATATATACTATACTACTATATATAATATATATATATATATATATATAATTATATCGTAATACTATAATTGATTACTCATAGTATAGTAAAATGTTACGATGAAAACAGTTGACGAGGAGAGTTGTGAAAGATCGTGTGTTGCTCTCCATAGAAATAGAGATGAGATAACTATCGTAGCTATATTTATATAGTAGATATAGTAGTGTATCTATCTATATAGTATTCTATATGATATGATACTATCTGCCATATATAGGTATATCATCTCGAGATGATAGTATGCTAGTGTATATTATACTATATATCTATATATGTATGTGTCTATGAGAGAGTTTATCTATGCTCATTTCTTGGTTGCTTCTATACAGTATGTCTGGATATACAGCATTATCGCGCGCAAGTACCTGAAATATTGGCTTGAGCCTCCAGTTGCGCTCTGGTTTGACATGCTGAATACGCCTTCAGCCGGATAAGCATTTCTGGCCAGCCTGCATGGTTAGATACGTGACTCCCTCTGGCCCCCGTACGTTCCCGTATGTACCATTATAGGTTTCACGCAAGAACAGCGGATGTAGCTTAACTAAATTCGCCCTAACGAGTATAGTTAGTAGGCTGGGATCATTTCTCTAGCGTTTTACTTTATTGCGTAGCCGATTAATCCGCTAGGTAATTTTTATATTTATTAGGTAACATAAGGTAACATTCAGTTTGTTTATCACTTCCTAGTACTTCCAGCCCATAAACCGACCACATTACCGCGCGAAAAGAGATCGCGGTTGCCGTGTGACGCGTGGTTACGGCGTAGTACGCCAACGCGTTCCGTCAGGTCTGTCTCTCTCGTCGCTGCTCATTCTCTCTTTCTCTCTTCTGCTCTCTCTGCATCGCTCATCTCTCTGCTCTTATTCCACTCTCCTCTCTGATCTCTGCTCTCTCGTCTCTCTCTCTCTCTGCTCTCTCGCCCTGACTGCTCGGCATTGTCTGTTCCCTCTTGCTATCGTGCCGCCCCGTCGTCTCGTCTCTCGCTCTCCTCGCTCTCCGCACGCCGGCACTCTCTCCGCGCGGCTCGTCTCTCTCACTCACATCTCGTGTCCGGTTGTACAGTATACGTGTACGTGTGCGTGCGCGTGGGGTGGCGTGTACGCGTGCGTGCATGCGCGTGGGTATGCGTAGGCTTTGGGGCTAGGGTGGAGCGAGTGCGTTTACAGGTGCGATGAATGTATTGGCGTGCGTGCACGCGTGTGGCATCTTTAATCAGCT